GTGAGCGGCCATCTGCTGAGGCCGACTGGGGTTCAAGGAGACAGAAGCAGACATAGAAAAAGAAGCATAGATACAAAAGGCAACTGTCATGTCCTGCCCTGTTGATGCTGTTTTGCTAAAACGACTTCTGCTGCTGTTGTTTATTGCATTTTAACCATTTACCATTTTTAAGCTAAGGGTATTAATTTTATGTTGATTAATTGCACTGTTATCATCAGATCTGCTGCTATTCCAACGGACATTAGTGAATGTATTAACATCTGGCCTATCTTGGACAATCTCAGAAGCCAGTTTAACTGACTCTTAGGGTTTTATTCTTTTTTTTGTTTTCTTTAAACTAGTCATTTAATCTACTTCGTGTTTATTTTCTAATAGCGTGTAGTGTTTTCATAGATGTTAGATTTCTGTAATCCTGATTTATTAGAATAAAGACGTCATTGTTTAACTTGTAGTGGTTCTGTGTTTCATATAGAGGACGGTTTATCACTCAGGTCAGATCCACCCCCTATGGTAATAGTGTGAATAAACAGAGATAAAAAGGTTTATTGATTTATGGTTTATTGATAATTAATAGCTCTGCTGATAACTTAGCCTGGGTCATTAGATTGGTGGATACCTGGATTTTAACAGCCGGTCCAGGAACCATCCAGGGGTGAAACCACAATCCCTGGTAAGGAAATTAAAGCTACAATTATTCAACTAAGAACACTAAATTCATTTCACCTCTGATTTTGAATTCTAGTTCTAGCTCATCATTTATTAATTATCTGCAGGATATTATTTTACACAACAGATTGGTTTAAAATAAATTATTAAAAGCCTCAAATGAAGGTGACACATAAGAATTGTAAGAAGAAATTAAGACACTTCAGTTCAGTTTAGAGACAGGACAGTTTTTCACTTATTTTCCTTCGGGATGAAGTTTGTTTACATGTGAAATGATTGACTTCTATCCAGTATAAACTGTATATGTACATGAAGTATACATTAGGGCTGAGCCTTTTATCCATAAATAAAATTAGTCTTTTTATGTGTGTGTGTTTTATTTATTTTAAATTGTCATGGTTTCTCTTTCCAGAGCACATTGCCGGCTAACTTTACAGTTTTGTGGTATTAAGTGCTAAAGTCTGCTTGCATGCATGGATCTGCTCGCTCGCTGCAGCTCTTTCTCCCCCCCAACCCACGTTAACCCCAGAAAACCTGAGGGTCTTAGGAGCAAATCCGTCTGAAATTACACGTATGAATTAAATCAAGTTCAGCTCCCAAACTATAAACTGGAAATAAAATTGATTGTATGACAGAAAGGCTTGAGGATTATTTTTTCAGGTGGA